TTACCCACGACTATATATATATATATTGTTTCATCTAACGATAATAAAGTCATCTAAAAAATTTTGTAAAGACAAAAAATCCTTCTAGATATAAGTGTCTAACCAAAATGGGTCTAAGTTAATTGGGCTCAAAAATTACTTTCTAATGTGTGTTTTCAATTTTATTTATTTATTTATTTTGTTGTTATTTATTTTAATTAAAAGATTGTATATTTAAAAATTGGGGTTAGACCCTCACATGATTTTTGAATTTACTACAAAACCATTGCATTAAATTACTCCCCCATAATAAAGCGGATAGCTCATCCTCATGAATATTTATATAAGGGTGCACTTTGCATATGGATGCATCCGTAGGTGTAGAGGTAAGGTGCACCTTCAAATTTTATCATGGTATGTAATTTTGATGTAAAATATTCTTAAAATTATCTCAAAATATATTTTTATATCTAATTATAAATTTTAAATTTAAAAAAATGATTAAAATCAATTAGATTTATAAACATATGAAAATCTTGAAAATGGACGGTGTAGATAATATGTTGTAAAATGCACTATTTTTGAGACTTAAAATCTTTTTAGTTTTCATAGTCATACACCTCGATGTCGAGATGATCAATCAAAGGGTTTTTCAACATTAAAACTACCTTTTTCTAATGATGTACATTATAAGGTAGCATCCTTATATAAACTTTTTCCTTTAGATAAATTTCCCTAAATTTTATTAACTAGACGAGGAATTATTTTTGTATGGGGGGTTTTGGTGCATGAGCCTAGCGTGGAGGCGGGACTGGGACAAAATTTCACACTAAAAGTGAAAAAATGAATTTAAACCTTTAAAACGACCATTTAAATTTTACCTTTTGACCATTTAAAACCATCATATTTGTACCATCTTTTAAGTTTTCAAATGTTGGATCCAAGGGGAAATGCATTTACCTTAAAATGTATTTCAAATATCAAGTATCTCTCAGAAATAGGGCACACGATTTGAAAAGGGTGCCTCCACCATGGACTTTTCAATTATCTTCAGCTTCTTCCCGTAGGGTCTAGAGGGGCCTCATATTTTGATCGTTTAAAATTGATAGGTTACGTGGTTGGATATGGTGATTATCCAAAATCACCCATCATAAGGAAATGTGTGATTGATATTGATAAGTTTCTCAAAACAAAATCGAATTATTAAAAAATTAGGATTCTGGATGTATCTTTTAGTTCTTAAGATATATGTAACACATAGGAAATTTCTTATTTGGTGTGAGGTGACTTCCTCTAGAGAGAGAAGCGAGCATCGATAATGCATCCCTTTAGAGAAAAGAAAGCTTTCTATGGAGAAAAAATTTACCTCCGGTAGAGTGAGAGATTGGTTTTTTTTGTAGAAAAATGGTGTGAAAGGTAGATGATCTCTTCCTAAAGAGTGGTTTAATTGTAGAATAGAGATGATCTCTTCTTGAATAGTGGTTTAGTTGTGAAATAGAGATGAAAGATCGATAGGTGGTCCCGATCGGGAGACTGGGTATAAAAGAACTTACTCGACAGGGTTTTGTAAAACTTGACTAAGTTTTGACCCGAGTTATAGAGGTAGCTCTATATCTCAAAATCTATAATGTATATATAGTGAATTTCGATTTGTCGTGCCCATGGATGTAATCATCTTGAAATGAACCATGTAAATCTTTATGCTCTTGTAGCACGTGTGTGTTTGTATTTCATGCTTTATTTCTCGTATTATGACTCGTGCTCTCGCATATTTTGTTTCTAAATAGTGTACGTTTCTAGCTAGGTAAGTACACGATGTTCATGGATTCCAACTTTTGGATTATTTCCGCATCTAAGAGCATTCTTAAATCCCAACTCCTGACATATGTAAACCTTAATAAGAAAAACTTTAAAGAATTGCATATTCCTATTTCCGCATCTAAGAGGCTTCATAAATCCTAACATATGTAAACCTTGGTAAGGAAAACTTTAAAGAATCTCGAGACCATTTACCTTCCACTAATAAACAAATAAACAAATTCAATGGTTCAAAATTAATAGAATTGATAGCAATATAAATCAAGAAGTTGCAGAATTTCAGATCCTAGTAATATATTTAAAATAGGTTTTCGGGTTTCAGTCAAAGCAATAGAAATAGACAGCCTCGCCGTAGGTAGTTTTCTGCTAGTCAGGTAAATGACTCTCTAGCTTCATTTGATTGACAGGAAAGGAAGAGGGGAATTTATAAGTGTGCATTGAAGCTGCTTTGCTTTGAGACAGCTAATGCGAAAACAAAGGGAGAAATATACAGAGAGAGGAGAGAATTCTAAATTTCTGAAGGTGATGGCCATGAACAAAAAAGGGGCAGTCGAGTGTGTGTGTGAGAGAGAGAGAGGTCAATGTAAATGATGAGGTGGGATAGATTTCGTACAAGATTTCAGTGCAACAGGAAGCAAACAAAAGATTTAGTTACCATCATGAACAATGGAATTCATTTCTTCCATTCTTACAGAGTAAAATATTTCAAATTTCTTTGAAAACTTTCACTGATCCGTAAATGAACAAAGTAAAACCTAACTAATGGGTCTGAGACAACAGCCATACAAACTCTGAACCATTGTTCTTGCAAATTATGAAAAGCCGTCTTCCCTGATAATTTCCTCTATTGTGAGATGCTGAAGAGAAATGGAGTACCTAACCGCATGACTCGAATCCCCTTTGCTCAGCAAAAATGATCCATTGACATGCACTTTAACAAGGGAAAATGAGGATGGATCATCAGCAGTATGTGTGCATGAGAGAGAGAGAGAGAGAGAGAGAGGGAGATGATTTAATCAACAAAGAAAGGAAAAGAGGACGAATCCATTTCTTGACCAAGAACTAACGATCGCATTTAAACAATAAAGGGAAGTTTTCATAAATATCCCCACAACTTTCAGGAATTCAAAAATGTCCTTGATGTTTTATATTTTATGCTCGTGTTCCACTTTTTGTAGTGCTTCTTGTAATTTGTTTTTTTTTTTTGTACATTAGATTAAGCACAAATTTTTGTGTCCATATTGCTCCCCATCATGCACCTCTAAAAAATATTAGAAAATAAAAATAAGATGACTAAATATAGCTACATGTTTCAGGGGTAGTTTGATCATTTTATTTCTTTCATTATTTTTTTTAATTTTTTTTTTCTTACTAGTGCATGATAGTAAGAAGTAAGAACAAACAAAATTTAAATTTAATCTGATGTATAAAAAAAATAAAATTGAAATACAATAGGCACACTCAAAAAGTGGGGCACAAGCGTAAAATATAAAATATTGAAGACATTTTTAAAATTAGGCAAAATATAAGGGATCCTACTGAATTTCCAAATTTCCCCAAAAAAAGTTCACATTGAGGTAAGTTGTCAAACATAGAGATACCTTTGATTGTGAAAATGCATGGCAGCCACCTCTTATAGATAAATAAGAGTCTAGGGCTATCACCATGATGTGTATCAGAGAGCAAAAGCTTGCATGTCCCCCTCAAATTCTGTTTCCCACTGACAAAAGCTCAAGGAAACTTATAATAAGGATTAAAGCATCCAATAATTCAAAGCCACACTCTCACTATTGTATTTGAAAATTTTCAAGTATTTCATTACTTACTTTACATAGTCTATAGCATCCCGACACAATGCCAAGGTTCTAACCATGGCCAAGTCCCTTCCTCTTTGATTTCCATACCTCTCTTGACAGTTTCTAAAACAACAGCAATCAATGTTCGATTTAGCAAGCTATAACAAGGCTCCAATCAAAATTTCAAAGGACAAAAATAGTGGAAATAAATGAATTCTACAACCGTTCTGTTTGTTCATGGACTTCATGTTTTTTATAATTAACTTTGATCATAGAAACACATCATATTTCGCTGAATAAAGGACCAAGTTGTGAATGGTTTGATTACTTTGAAGGTAAGAATGGAATTCATAACAGATGTAAAATCAATGCACATGAACCATGGGTGTTACAAGGAAAGACCATCAAGGAGTAATAGGAGAAGCATGAAAACTATGATAACTTCCAGTCATTTTTCCATCCAAGAAGAGAAAAGGGACATTCTAGAAACAGTGGCTTTCCATGTGATTTCACTTGTCCATTTGTATGTCTCATGTTCATATGTTTTTCTTTACAATGCTGCAATTGTATCACTGCTTTGCTGAATATCGTGCATGACAACAGAACCAACAAGGACAGCCTGATATTACAAAGATTATATGCTAGCATGATTTACAATCTGACATATTAATTGAGTAATAAAACATATTTTATACATGGGAGCTTTCAGATTTCCAGAAGCAAACATGAATTTTAAGCATACCACACATTCATATGGTAAGATTTGAAAAGCCACTCCTATGAAAAAGGAAACTGGGAATACAGGCCTCCATAACATGCACTAGCATGACATACAGACAAGCTAACGAACAATGTACCTATCATGGAAGAATTCACCAAAGTCATCAATGATAACTGCAGTTGGAAATGTCTCGTGAAAATGGAATGCTGCAAAGTACTTTTTGAGTCCCTCATCATCTTCCAAATACCTGTAAATGATAAAAGTTAAATCTTCCAACTTGTTTTTTTTGTTTTTTCTGTTCTTTTCTTGGATCCTAGATAAAATAAACTGGTGCCCCATATTCCACCCAAATACCAAAGCAAAAATATGCCAATGAAAGAAATGCAAAAGGATGAAAACTATGCATTGTAGCTATTAACATTTACCAGTGTTCAGAATCTCAGTGAGACCAACTCAAACTCACTCGAGTCATCCAGAACTGGCAACCTGCCAGTCCCAGATAAGCCTAACTTGTGTTGACCAAGTCTCGACTGAGTCTGCCAAAATCTTCAAAAGAACCAGTGATTCTGATCTGTGACTAGACAGACTCGGGATTTGGTGAGCTGACTTGGACCCACTCCTGGAACATTCCTTGTCCTCAAACACTGAGATTCACCAACAAAACTATTTTTGAAGTAGCCAAAACATTACCCATTTTCTAGAGTTTAAAATGCAAATATCCAGAGTCTTGACTATGCTAAAATATTCTACAATTGGAGAATTGCTGACATAATAAAAATAAGTAAAAGATAATACAACTGTGTTCTTTTTTAATAATTAGAGATGATAAAATTGCATGTTTTTACGACAATCAACATTTCTCATTATCTTGATAAAGAGAAGGCAATACTTTTCTTCATAAAAGCCGCAAAAGGAGAAAAGGTACTGCTTTTCTGTATTTCTTTTTATTACACATTCTCTATAAATTATATACAAGTGCTTCATTTTCTTCAAGGAATTCAACTGACTTAGAAACAGTCTTGCCTATGCAAAATAGAGATTTATATATACTATAGGACATCAACAGAAGCTAAGGAACATTGAGAGCTTCGTATTAAGGAGAAATAACTAGTTTTTCTGTTTCAAAATGACTAAGAGAGAAATAAATGATAGTAAGTGAATTGCATAAACGAATTCAAGTATTCTTACTTCATCTGAATTTTGTTAAATATGTCTGATGATGGAGCAATGCCCTGCAACATGAAATAACAGAGTATTCTAGTAAAACAACAGACCCACACTCATGCATGCTTGCGGACGTGCACACATACACATACACACAGATACCAACCCATAGATGTTTGGAAATAATATGGACCCAAAAAACCGGCAAAAAAAATAAAATAAAATAAAAAATAAGGTAACATGTCCATAAGTTCTTACTAGCAGTTTTGGTTGCACCAGTCGCATCTTAAGGTTGGTTAACTACTATTGATATGAATTTGGTTAGAGACCACCTTAAGCATAGGGGCCCTGAGTTCCAAAACTTTGTTCCATAAGATGGGCTACAGAAAAGGCACCTAACCCCTTTTGCTTTGTTGGTGTTATTTTCCGAACTTATTCAACATTTCCGACTAACACCAATGTCAATGGCTATCCATGTGGCCAGTTGGGGCCCATCGTGAAAAAGTGGAATCACTTGCTCTTATGTGCTCCTGGTTATTGAAGGAAAAGGAAACATAGAAATTTTCTGTTGCTGCTAAATCTTGAAGGTAAGCAATGGAAAACCATCTTAAGGCTTGATTTGCATCTTAGGCTTCAGCATTCCAAGAGTTGCATTTTTTAGGCAAAAACTTGGTGCAATTATAGAGATATTCTATATCTTGAAGCAAATTGGCTCATAACTATAGAGAATTCTATAGGATGAAGCCTGGGACATGTGTTGTCACTAATATGAAGTGACCCAATTAGATGAAATGGCTAAGGATACTTTTGATGAAAGCCCAATAAGAAATCTTACACCTTCTGGGGTTGGAAGAGCTATTGGGAATAGTGATGAGGTTTACAATTTTTATCAATGGATTTCTTAGCCATGTAGAGATCATGGGAGAGAAAGTAAAGGTTCTCCTTAGCCTCTAGATGATTTGATGAACATGATTAGAAAGGGTGAATCAAAATACAAAGATGAAATAAAAAATTAGTAAACATTATCAAAAGATTCTTGAGAGATATTACAATGTTCCCATTTCTCACATGTTTTCCACTATATAACATGGACACTTGTGTTTAAAGCTTTTTCACATGTGACACCGACAATTGTGTTCGATACTTTAGAAATCGATACTCTAGAAATTTAGGCACTTCTTATTAATTTTTACTCTTGAAATCTCACTACAAAAGGACTTAATGCCATTACACTCATATGTCCATATCTATTTAAAATAAGTTTTTAATCAAGAAGGTTGCATAATACTTGGCAAAGAAGGGCGCACAATCTCTCTCTATCTCTCTCACAAATTATACATCAACAACATCTGAGAGATTCCTAAAATCTGTATTTTGGAAGAATCAGGGGTCTTATTTACTAATTTTCAGCATCTCTCTCTCTCTCTCTCTCCAAATTACACTTCAACAGCATCTAAGAGATTCCTCAAATCTATATTTTGTAAGGATCAGTGGTCTTATTTTACTAATTTTCAGCATCACTCCAACTTTTCCTAATTTCCCCAAAAAAGAAGTAAAATAACTAAAAACCGTACCTGGATTAAAAATGGTAGTTTGTTTTCCATCCTCTGTTTGTTGCAGATAAACACCACTGAATCTGAGCTCTCCCTTGCCCGATTATAGGCAAACTGAAAAAGAAGCGAGGTTTTTCCACTGAAAATTTTTTAAAAAACAAAGAACAGTTTATCATATGATCTATGAAGAACATTGATTAAGTACCTTCAGAGAAATAGAAGAGAAAATAGGAATAGTTACCAGCAAGGCGGACCAGAAAGGAGCATCATTTGCTCGCATTTTTCAGGCATATACTTAGAGGAGATTTCGCCGGGAATTTCACCGGTGCTCATGCTTCCAGCGAACTTCGACGGAAAGAATTGATCCACCATTCTATAGAGGGAAGAGGGACAAGATTGAAACCCTACAAAAGCATCACATTTGCCCCCAATTCTTTTACCCATGAATTTTGTTATCCTCCCATTTGGAGTTCTTCATAGATTCTGCTAAGTCTCCAAATTTTTTTGCATGAACGAAAAAGTTCAACAGGCTCCAGCGTTATACTCAGGGTCTAGACGCATGTACTTCAAAAGTCACCTTTTATCGTATTAAAAAAGAGAAATGATCGTGATCAACCCTAGGTTCCTCAATATCATCCTTAAATTTTACACGGATGTATAAAAAAGACAAATCTCAGATAAGTGTGGTAATTTTTTTCAAAGATTTGTACCAACCTGATCAATCGAAGTCTTACACACATAAATAAAGAGGGTCCTATAAAATAATTATTCATTTAAAAAAAACCTTAAAACTGATTATTATATACTAAAAAAATTAAAGTTTTTTAAAAACGCAGAGTACATCTTGTTAACATATTATCTGGATCATTATTTTTAATTTTTAAGTATTTATTGCAGTGTCAATGACTCCTAGTTTATGCAAGTTACTCGGTCGAGTTGAGCACTATGTCAAAAAGCCCAAAAAATTTTAAAATTAAAATATGTATTAAAAGTTAAATCAAACTTAAAACAACGCGAAAATTTTAAAACAAGCGTAAAAAAGAAAAGAAAAACGGATTTGAAAAAAAAATCTAATTTACAATTTAGGGTATTTTAGAATAAAAAAAAAAAATATCAATGGCAAATAAACACTTATCAATCTTTAGCAAAGGCATTCAAATCATGTAAGAAAAAATTATGTAACACAACTTTATTTTTTAAGAATTTTTTTAATTTTGAAGTATTTTTAAAATGCCTCAAGTTGTACACACAACTCGTGGTACTCTTGCCCATAGGACGAGGCCGAGTAATTGGATTGAGTCTGAGTCGACTCAACCAAGTCCTAATACATTTTTTTTAGCTTTTTTCGCTCTACATTATTTTTGAGCTTTAAATTTCATAATTATGGACAAAAATAGGTTTTTAAGCCACCGTAAAGATTTCTGATATCAAAACTACATCTTTTAGTAAACTTTATAGGCCACCTCATTTTGATCCCAAAGTTTACACCTTGTACAAATGGCAGTCTTTCTTAATTCATGCACTCCTTCCCAAAATACCCTTTTTCTCATATAAATTATGAAAAAGTTTTAGTGAGCCCATGCTTAAGTGACTCTCTTAAATTTTACAAGATAATCTTGACTACGTAGATCATGAATATGAAAAACAATTGGAATTAAAACTTAAATTTTAATTGTTAAAATGAACATGTTCAAATTTATATTTTTTTTATTTTCATCATCCTCCTGGTCGAGATTATTGACTTATTAAATTTTACATCTATCTCTACGATAGATTTTGGAAGGAGACCACACAAAAATAGGGCAAGCTAGTTGGCACAGAAAAATTGAATCTTATAAATTTGATTGCAGATTTTGCAGGGCTTGACATTACAATATTTATTAATGCTGCATTTTAAGATCTAACGAACATGTAGTCTCGATGGAGGAACTAAAAATAAATTGCGTATCCTAAAGTTTGGTCTAGATCTAATGGATATGTGAACACCTAAATTAAAAGGTCAAAAAATATGAGGACTGTTAACAAGGTATAGAACCATTTACTATTAAAATATTCTATTGAATACATCAAGAGAAGAGAGGGCATATGCTACTCTAATCCTCCAAGAGAGAATCTCTGAGTTCAAACTTATCCCCATTGCTACAAGATAGATACTTAATAGTGCATTTAAATCTCCATAATCATCATAAGATTACTCCTAGTTAAAAAAACTTTCAAATTTTGGCAGTGATTTTATACAACAGTTGTATCATAGTATCATGCAACGGTTGTATCATAGTATAATGCAACTACACTTCTAGAAAACTATGTTTGTGGTATTTGTTTGACCCATAATTTTGCACACACACTTTGTTCATCTCAATAATCAATCCAAAAAAAAAAAAAATCAATTTAAACCCTAAATATGGTCAAAATTAGTCCCCTCCAACAACAAATCTCGACCATTCATTTGATGAATTTCAAGATCTTAGCCTTTACAAACTCAAAATCATTTTTTTCTTCTTTTAACATTGTTCATCTAATGATAATAAAGCTATCTAAAAAAATTGGAAAAGAAAAAATCCTTCTAAGACCTAGATCTAAACATTTTATCAAAATGGACGGCCTATGTTAATTGAGCTTGAAAAATACTTTTCTAAGTTATGTTTTCAAATTATTTTTTTTTGTGACTGTTCATTAGAATGAAAAAAAATATATATTTTAAAATTTGGATCAGACAAATGATCCTAACATGATTTTTAAATATTGGTGCATTATATTACTATATGACCGTTGCATGAAATCACTACCCTCCAAATTTATTGCCACTTAAATTCTAAAAACTCCAACTCATTTATTGAAATTCAGCTCTCGGTTAACTTTTCAATTCAACATTCAAAAGGAAACTTTTGTACCTGTTTATTGAATGGCATCCCCAAGTCAACTTTCAATCTAAAAGAAACTCCTAAATATTCCTAGTAATTGTTAGAACTTCAACCCTTTTAAGTCAAATTCTAAGTATTCATTACATTTTAGCTCCCTTGGAAAGCCTTGCCTAAGGGGGTGGCAACAGGTTGGATCCGGGTCCAGACCCAAAAAAATGACATGGGACATGGCCTGGACCCTAGCAGACGTAGAACTGGACATCAAAATATAGTATGGGACTCGAACCCAGACCTGATTTGACCCAAAAATTAAAATATCTATGTATTTAATAGAATACCCAGACCTGAACTCGACTCCCAACTTGGGTCTGGGTCCATTGCCACCCGTACAATGGCCTCAAGGCTAGAAATTGGGGAAGCATGGAGTGAATGTCAGCTATCGCTCTTAAGGGGAGTTTTTGAGTTCCATGCCCTTCCAATTAGTACCTAAGTTATTTATTTTTAAGGGATCATACATGGAAAACTGGGTGAATCATTGATGATCAGACAACTCTAACCCATGCATCCAATGACTTTGTAAGCCTTGAAGCAAGCCTCTCGGTGCACAAATTGCCATTAATGCTTGGTGATATGGTTGCAACCTTAAGAAGACTATGTCAGACGTTAGGAATCCTCTCTCAACTCATTTTTTATCAGTTTTATTGTTTCATATGGTTACGGGCTAACTTTTCTTTCAAAACTTGTAATTTATGGTCATATTTCCACAACCTTGAGTCAATAGGCTGGAACAAGGTTTAAAAAAGGGATCAGTGACCCGGATCATCCATCCAAAATTTGAATGGAATTGGTGAAGCGATCCAGATTAGAGATTGGCCTGTTTCGACCTAAAAGTTTTTTAAAAAATAAACAAAAATATCTAGAAATAGTGTTTTTAAGTTTCCAAAAAATTGGGGGTAGTGCATTATGTACTATTATTATTTTATGAAAATACATGAATATTAAGATATCGTTCCCTTATATCTGTTGACCATTATGTTCACATCACTAAAAAAAGAGTCCAAAATAGAGCAAAAAACTATTAAAATACAATTATATAAAAATATCACCTTACAAATATGTAGAAATTATTAGTTCAATTTAATAAAGTCCATAATCAATATTTTGTTTTAAAAAATGGAAATTAGTGTTATTTCCAATTAATTTATCGTATATTAATTAAACATGTTCAAAATCATATTAAAATTTATAAAGTTCACTCATTAAAATTAAAACAACCCAATAGTTGTATTATATTTTGAAAATTAAATGCGATTCAAAAGGCGATACACTTGTAAATTTATATTATTGTATGAATAGAAATTCTAAATTTCACCTTGAGAAAAAATAGTGCTCAAAATTATAAAAGTAAATAAAAGTAAATTTTTTTTATGTAATCACTCCAGTTTAAAAATTTAAATGTGGTTGCATTTAACGAGAGAGTATCCTATTTATCTTCTAAAATTATTATAATATTATTTAATTATTAAATATTTAAATGCAGTCGTTTTCAAAGAGAGAGAGAGAGAGAGAGAGAGAGAGAGAGAGAGCATGCATACATAAAAGCTTAGTTTAAGAGATTTCTAGATTGTTCTTTCTCCACAAGATGGTTCAATCAAGAAGTGAGTGAACCATGTCTATCACGAAGAGAGAAAAAGTAGGACGATAACCAACTAGAGTTATTGCAATCATAGAGAAATCCACCATTTCTCTCCAATTGAATAAACAAAGCCCAAAAAGTATGTTTTTTCAATTGAATAAACAAAACCCAAAAAGTTTATTTATTTATTTTTGTTAAATTAGACAATGCCCGCTCATGAAAATTAAATTAACAAAGCATCATTGGTTATGATTTTATTTATTTATTGAAATTAGACTGTAATATCTCATTACTGATATGTTGACAATTTGAGATTCAGAACTCAAGAAATAATTTTCTTTCTTTATTTACAAAGTTGGCGCCATTTTTTTGAGAAACCATATCCACAAATGTGTTGGGAAGCAATTCCCTTTCTTTCTATGTGTGAATCAAAGGTAAAAACATATCTTATGTTTTACAAATACTGAAAATAGGCAATTTGCTACTTGCAAAGTAAATGGAAATCACAAATCACAAAAGGGAAAAGGAAATTTCCACCAAACACAATCACAATAACACAAGATATAATGTGGAAAACCCTTCAATATGAAGAGAAAAACCACTGGGCAAATCCGAGAAATCTACTAAAAACAAACAAAAAATACAAGATTACTCCACAAGCATCATAAGGATAATCTCTTTCCCACATAAAAAAAAACCCAAAGATGGTTTTCCAATGGCTTGGAGAAGCAGACGCAGAGCACACCAACTGTTCCTGTTTTCCAGCTGAGTGTAGAGTGTGGCAAATAGAAAAAATGACCTTTGCACCAACTGTTCTTATTTTCCAGCTGAGTGTAACAAATAACAAAAATGACTTCTGGAATGGCCTATCGAGATGCTCTGGAATGACATATCAAGATGCTCACCAATGGATGAAGGGTACTCAGTGGTGGAGGGTGCTCGCTAGTGGAGATGGTCGCTCATGGAGGTCATCGAATGAAAAGTGCTACCCTCTACCTGTTCTCTACGGTAGTAAAAAAAAACCCCTGTTGGGTTTTGTCTGGGTTTTAACTTTTAAACACCTATATGTTCTCTCTCTAACCTTTTCTTATTTTATGGGGTCCTTTTTTTTTTCTTTTTACTACTTATGAGGCTGGACCCACAAGGTAATCACCCAACAAAATGAGCTAAAACACTTTTATTAATTCAAAACCAGCTAACTAATATATACAGAGTTCTAAAAAAAACCTATTTAGACAATACCAAAATCCATTATAAAAGTCTTTTTCTTTTTTTTTGAATTTTTATAATTAATTTTTTAAAGAAGGAAAAGTAAGTTGAATTGTGTACAAAATTAATGTGTCAATTTATAAAATGCTTCATCTTAATTGGATACAACTTACATTGTACACGATTCCATAATCAACTAATTTATGAAAATCTTCTCCATCTATTTCGTTTTTCACTACCAGACTTAATTCATCCATTCAACTATATTTATGCCTTGAAATTCCAAAAATGTAAAATGTTCTATATTTGCAGGAATAATACAAAAATATTTATAAAATATTATAGAAAAAACATGGAATTCAAAATGAACTGGTGGAATCACCAAGGTTGGTTGCTGGTCGTATGGTAAAGGATAGCATGTGGCAACCAAGTAAGAAATAGAACAAGAGATGTAAAAAGCAGAGAGGGAAAGAGGGAGAGAGAGAGAGAGAGACGCGTTTTGTGTTGATTTTTCTATTTTCAGAGCTTTTGTGTGCTTTACATGCCAATCTCAAACCGGATGATTGACACTATATCATTTTTTCTACAAAAATACAAAACTTAAAACGTTCAACGTACGTTCTATAATCGTATAAAAGAAGAATGAATTATGCACTAAACTTAAAAGAAATCAATAAATGTCATTCCAAATATATATAACGTACAAGTGATCCTCACCAAGTTCTTATAAGAGTAACAAGAACCTCATAAACCAACCAAACCAATTATGAATTAGGAGTATTTCTCAAAGGAAATAACTCGAAAAGAATAAGTAAGAGAGAAAAATAAATAAATCCTCTCGATAAAGTTTCGATTGAGTTTAGAGTAACAAGAACCTCATAAACGAATTCGAGAAGAATGAGTACAAGTAGTTAATCAAATGGTTAGTCTGTTAAAGAGAGGGAAAAGTGGTTAATTAAACAGGACTTACTAACTATCAGTTCATTCTATGGATCACATCTAACAGAGAATCACATTTAACAGAGAATCCATGTTGAGGGGCTTTGTCAAGTGGAAGTGCATTCCGGATTGAATTGATTTGCTCGTTTCTTCTCGCATGGCATGAGATGAGATAGCTACAATTGGAACGTGAATCCCATAACGACTCTCCTCCTCACGAATCCTTCTTGTTGACTCGTATTCATTCATGATTGGCATCTGAAATACATGTGGACGTACCCATTTCACTAGAATTAGTGTAAGTGTTTCCATGCATGCTTAAGTTTAAGCACGTATTGTATTTTTTTTTGTAAATATTAATATGGGATTATCTACAAAAAAAGACTATTGATCTTTTTTTGCAATTCGAGATTTACAATTTTCTTTCTATATTTACAAAGTTAACTCCATTTCTTGAGAAACCATATTCATAAATGAGCTAAAACACTTTTATTAATTCAAAACCAACTACTAATACATAACCAGAGTTCTAAAGAAAACCATTTTAGACAAGGGTGTCGTTTCTATAAAGTTGTAACCTTAAACAATTTAAGTTAAGGCGCACCTTTAAATTTTATCATAACATATAATTTTGATGTAAAATATCTTTAGGATTATCTCAAAATCTATTTTTATATCTAATTATAAAATTATAAACTCCAAAAATAGTTAAAATCAAGTAGATCTATAAACATATGAAAATCTTAAAATGGACGTTCTTGATAATATGTTGTAAGATGTACTATTTTTGAGACACAAAATCTATTTATTTTTCATAGTCATACATCTTGATATCGAGATGATTAATCAGAGAGTTTTTCAACATTAAAACAACTTTTTCCTATGGATTTTTGAAGTTCATCCTAGTTCTACATTTTAGGGTTGCAATCTTATATAAACTTTCTCCTTTAGACAATACCAAAATACAATATTTCATATATATATTTTTTCATTTTTTCCACTATTTTTTTTTTTTTTTTCCATTTTTTTTAAAGGGAAGATACTTTCAATTGTGTACAAACTTAATCCATCATGTCACAAGATGCACCCTAATTCCTAATTTGATGCAACCTGCATAGTACACGGTTTCATAATCAACTAATTTATGAGAATCTCCTCCATTTATTTAATTTTTCACTACCGGACAACTCTATTTATATCTTGGAATTCTAAAAAAATAAAATATTCTATATTTGCAGAAATAATACACAAATATTCGTAAAATATTTTCAGAAAATCCGACATTCAAAATGAACCTGTAGAATAACCAAGGTTGGTTGCTGGTCGCATGGGAAAGGATAGCATGTGGCAACCAAGTAAGAAATAGAACAAGAGATGTAAAAAGCAGAGAGGGAAAGAGGTAGAGTGAGAGAGACGCGTTTTGGGTAGATTTTCCTATTTTCAAAGCTTTTGTGTGGTTTATATGCCAATCTCAAACCGGATGATTGAAACTATATCATTTTTTCTAAAAAAAATAAAAAAATTAAAACGTGCAACACAATTTTACGTCCAGTGGTGGTATAAAAAAAGAAGAATGAATTATGCACTTATTTAACCTTAAAGAAATTAAGGAATGTCTCGTTCCGAAAATATAAAATATATAGCGTACAAATGATTCTCACCAAGTTCTTATTATACAATCCTGCAAAGAGAGAAAAATAAATAAATCCCCTTTGATAGAGCTTCAATTGAGCCAACTTTGTGAAACTCATGATCTCTGATGTGAGCTTCAATTGAGCCAACCTTTTGATGCAGATAAGAATTCCTTTTGTTAAATTCCTTGTTGACCAGAACCTCATAAGGTGGTTAATCAAAAAGTGGAGTTACACAGTTAAAAGAACCTCATAAGGTGGTTAATCAAAAAGTGGAGTTGCACAGTTAAAAGAAAGGGAAGAGTGGTTAGTTGAATGAGGAGTTACTATCTGTTGATTCTATTGATAGCATCTAAGAGAGAATCCATTTGGAGGGGCTTTGTCAAGTGGAAGTCCATTCCTGATTGAATTGATTTGTTTGTTTCTTCTGGCATGACATGAGCTGAGAGAGCTATAATTGGAATGTGAATCCCATAACGCCTCTCCTCTTCTCGAATCCTTCTTGTTGCCTCGTATCCATTCATAATTGGCATCTGAAATACAAATTGACATATTCAACTCACTAGAGTCTAGTGTTAGTGTTTCCATGCATCGTATATATTTTTATGAATACTAATATTTAGAGCACATGTCCCTATTTCTTTAGGTATATGTTTGTATCTACGATATATATGCATTAGTATATGTTTGTATCTATGCATGTTGTATAGATGTGTTTATGAACAATAAATAAATGTGTGTACATATCTGAATGTATGTTACGTATGCATGTTTCACTATACATAAAAAATGATAGTCTTAAGCAATTACCTCACAATCCATTAGAATAATGTCAAATGGAGAACTTGAGGAGTCTTCATGAATCTCATGAATTTCTTTTGAAGCACTTTCTTTACCTCGGAGAGCCTTGATGACCCGGTTCAGAGCATCTTCTCCATTTTCACATATTTCAACCAAAGCACCTAGACGAGAAAGATTAGCCGTTGCTAATCGCCGCAACAATATATTATCTTCCACAACTAGTACTTTCATGCCATCAAAATTCCCTCTAAGCCTTGTACTTGAGCTAGCTGCAGGCATGACATCAATTTTTACTGTTTGTGATGAATCACTGTCATTTTCTTCCCATGGATCTTTCACAAGTTGAAGAACTTTATGTAAGCGAGACCAATGAAATGGTTTGCGTAAAACAAGATTGCATGGAACTTGCCCACTTTCCAGAACTTCCAAATCTTCACTTGAGGTAATGGGCGTAGTTAACCAAACAACCTTAAATTGTAAATTATTTATGCTTCTAATGAAATCAGATATTATTAAAGAGAGTTTCGAAAATGGCCCACAAGCCATATCTATAACCATTAAAATACAAGCATTTTCAATATTGAATCTGGTACTATGATGAACTAGGTCAATGTGGCTAGTAGAACGTTTCAAAACTCTTCTGGTAAGGATGTCCATTGAGTGATCGCTTCGATAGCTATCTACTGAATTCAATTCTAAGCTTTCCAAGGATCTAAAGCTGCTTAAAAACAATTCACTTTTTAGCCTTTCCAATGTACCAAACAAATCTTCCAACCCGTCCGACATCCAAACTTTAAACCCTTGATTACTCATCCATTTTTGAGAAATTTGTCTGGGGACCTCCCCTTGGATTAAGAGTACTGTATGTGCTACAAGACCTCCTAATGCATTTGTTTGTCCTAGGTTCAAATCAAATCGCTCTGTACCTCTTAAGAAAATATTGAATTTAAAGCAAGTCCCCCTTTCCCCTGGCTCTTTGTCTTTGATATGGATATCTCCACCCATGAGACGTACCTGGAACAAATTTCCGCAAATAAAAAATCAACCCTCTAAATGCACATCTATTCTTTTAAACATAAATTGATGATATTGATTTCAAAATTTATATTCCATGAATTGGACTATGAAAAATACATAGTCCATGGGTAATCACCTTCCAAAGATGCAAAGGATAGAGACCATAGGATCCACTACTTATTATGTTTCCTATATTTTACATCATCATCTATTAAATTGGAAATTGATAACCAAAAAAATAATACCTTTTCAGATATGATTCCAAAATTGGATTCTATTTGAGTTTCTTCAATCAATCAATCAAGATTGGAGAGTAACTTGGGAAACTATATGCAATGAGAGTATCATGTGCCAAAATAGAATAACAGTAAAATATGGGGCTATTCCAAATGAAGGAAAATACTGTCTAGTAAAACATTGACATATTATAAATGAAGGCAACATACTCTAGTCAACTCACTCAGACTGACTTGGTAAACTACAACCAACGACTATCATATGCCAAGTAAAATATCCATAAATATGGTTTGTTATAAAGGAATGCATTAGATTCTATTCAAGAACAAAGGCACAAGCACTTAAGCACTTACCAAGGATTTAACTATGCCAAGTCCCAAACCAGTGCCCTGAATATTGTTAGGTACTGATTCTTTAACTTGAATATAATTCTCAAATACTGTTTCGTGCTTATCCTTTGGAATGCCCTTTCCTGAGTCATCCACCTCACAAATAAATTCCAAGGAATCTGAATCCGCTTGAACAACATTAAACTCATAGGCTTCATCACTATCACTTAACCATCTCATAATACAACCCCATGAATTGAAGAAATAACCCTTATGATGAGAGTTAGCTATCGATGCTTTTGAGATCATGATCGGTTTCTTGATCAAAGCACGAACCACAATATGACCCTCTGTTGTGAATTTCACGGCATTACTAAGCAAGTTACTCAAAACCTGCTTAAGTTTTCCACAATCACCTTTTACATGGCGGTATCTTTCAACTGTACCATCATAGAGATCCATGATAACCTCTACACCATTCTTAATGGCAAGCCCATAAAAAATATCAGCCACTTCCTCCATGGTTTCAGCAAGATCAAACTCTCCCTCCTCCAACTGCATCTTGCCCGCCTCTATCTTACTAGCATCTAGAACAGAATTCATGATTGCTGGACACCAATTAAACAGAAAACACAAAAACATTAATATAAGTACAATTGCCTATAAATGGAAAATGCTTATGTAATATTCAATACTAACTAAATCAAAGTATTATTCAATATTCATTCTAATGGTTAATTATTGCAAATGTTAAATAATTCTAAGAAGGGGGAGCAAAAAATAATCCAATGGACTATAGATGACTACAGTACACTGGGTCATTATCGTCTACTGTAGTCCACACCATTAGATTATAATAATCTCTCCCATCATAAATAAATTCCATAATCCAATACATAGTTGTTTCCAAACTTACCAAGCATATTTGTTGCACAAGAATTCATCTGCTCCAAATTGGAATCAAGCTCCAAAGTTTTCGAGGGAATTCTTCGACATAGTTCAATTATGCTAATGATGGCTGCAATCGATGTGCGTATATCATGCGTTGCCATGGCCAAAGCATGGTCCATGTTAATGATCTTCCTTTCAGCTTGTCGGTTCACTTCCATGTGCTTTACAAGAGCAGCACACAACCGCATTTCTCTTCTTGCTGCTCTGTAAAACAAGAACATACAGAAACAGAAGGCGAAAACCACAATGGCGAGCATGCCATACAGTAGAATCAACATTCCCATGTTGCACTTCCTTAAAACATCTATGAGATTTGTGCAGTTACATTCCATTGTAGAAACTGCAATACACACTTAAACGAAATCAATAACTAATCAAGTCAATTATCAAAAAGAGATAAACGAAACTAGAGTCTCAGATCTATCTAGTGAAGAAATGAAGAAATGAGTTTCATAAATTCCATTGAGGTTCTATAAACCCCAAATATTGATTTAAACACGGCCAGAAATCCAAATCTAACCTAGTTTCAGAAACTCAAAATACTGATTAAACACATTTTATCAGCCATAGACATTGGATCAATGACACAAAATAATGGTTAGAGCCAAGTACTGATTTCAATATCAGGACAAAATAATGGTTAGAGCCAAGTACTGATTTTCAATATCATGACAAAATAATGGTTAGAGCCAAGTACTGATTTCAATATCAGGAACACAATAGTTATAGGTTCCAATTTAAGGCCCCAAATCCAAATTTCTGGTTCAAAAATGTTTCACTTTGGGTGAAACCAATGGTGATTTTGAACGTGTATCTTAAAAGGCTAAGTAGAAATTTAGATATAATTACATATTCTATAAAATAATAGAACCAAATACAAGCCAGTTCTTGAAAGACCTCAAAGTTGCAACTGAAAGAGCCATATACTGGTTAAATCTGTTCTAGAAGAACAAAATTCGTAGTTGTAACTTGTAGGAGAGACTCTAAAGAGAAAAGACAAAAATATTCTAAACAAAAATTCAACAACCACAATCTACTGTTTTGGAAGGTGATATCATAAACAATGAATCATAAAAGTAGTGATCAAAATATTAAAAGAATGAAAGATTATGAAAATTGTGGCAATTATTGACTCCATTTTGAACGTTTCCTATTTGGAAGGAACCCAAATCCTGTCAAGCATAAAATTCTGAAACATTTCCAATTTGGAAGAAAATAAAAAGTCTTAAAGCACAAGTTACAAAAACCTTCTCGCACAGGAAACCAGTGAGTGAATGAGAGAGGGAGAGCTATGCCTCTCTACTCTTTCTCTTTTTTCTTTTTTTTCTTTTTTTTTTTTTTCGGGGAGAGAGATGGAAAGGCAGTGAGCGAGAGCAAGAGTGATGAGAAATAAGGAATGTAAGAGAGAGAGAGAGATTGTTACACAGCGATAGAGAGGTATGGTGGGTAAAAGACGTACCCCTTCACCAGTTTTTTATACTTGCTCTTCTTTCAACTTGTAGAGAGAGAGAGAGATTGTGTTCATGGTTAACTGATTAAAAAGCTGGTGAATTTAAACCATCTTTTGAAACCCCTTAAAAATTGAGGTGCAATGATAATACTAACTGTTAATCACAGAGGTTAAGACAACTTAATATACGTACTATTCACAATACCCTTTCAAACACAGATATAATACCTAACAATGAATTTGTGTGCCATATATTTTATTTGCTTAACTTAGGATGATGAATTAAATCGCATGATACTGTTCCCTCTCCTCCACACCAATTTTTATTCTCTCTTATTCCCCTTTTAGTAACTTCTTTCTCTCTCCTTTGCCACGCCTAAATCTTCCTATATCTCTCCCCATTTCTCTCTCATTGCCATTAATGCATCCTTTCTATTTCTCTCTCCTCCTTTTGCACTCATTTTTACCCAGCTTGGCAATAATATTTCCCTCTTCTATGCTCCCTTGATTTAGCAAGAAGTTATAGTGGCGTGCTTATTGGGTAGTCTTGTATTTAAAGATAATACAGGCATACTACATTTCAACAAAAATTAATAAGGTAAATCTTGTATTCAAGTTCTATAGTGATTATTTCTTGTAATGCCTATTTGTCCCTTGTTATCTTGCAATAAGAGCCATTGATTTTGTTTAATTCAAGAAAAAGCTTTTAAAGTTATTATCAATCTTAATACTATAAGGAATCTTTGCATATCTATCTCACTTCTATTAGTATCTTTATGTAATAAATTTTTTGTGCATGGGCGTGCGCACTCGTATAATTTTTATATCTACTTTTTTTCAAGAGTTATTTATGTATAGACACAAAAACAAAAAAGAAAATATAAAAAGCTCTTATTTTCCGTAAAAATTACATGCAAGGTTGGTCAACTCGCGTCCCTTTTTTTTTTTTGCAAGTTTTCTCTCAAACGGCTAACATCGGACCGGTTTTAAATTCCTTTTATTCATTTTTCTAAGTCCAGAGATGGCATGATGTCCCGAACCTCAGACTGCTTAGTATAGTGAGCGGTCCAAGGTTCAAGACCTCGGAACACTTTCCTTTAGTCTTGAGGTCCTAAACCTCAAATCACTTAAACCTTGCCATGTTAGAAACATTAGACTAAGGGGCAATTTAGAAAAAAACGAGGACGCGAGTTGACCGACTTTGTGCGTAATTTTTGCAAAAAAAAAAAAGAACTTTTTTGTAGTTTACTTTTTATTTTCGTGTCTGTATGTAAATAACTTTTTTCAATTAAAATGAGAAACCTAAATGTAATTAATTATTATTCACGTAAGTCTTAAGAAATAAGGATTATTTTCCTTGTGCCTGCTCCCGGCTGTTCCATTCTCTATCTATAGTGTAGGGCGTCCTTCCTCTCTCTTTCATTGCCGAGAAGCAGTGAGCCGGCGGGGCTTCTGTTAGCCCTTCCGGCCAGTTTAATGGCAAAGAAGAAGCTGTGAAACAGGGGCTTTGCTTTCTATTATTCCCCGTGAGGGCTTGCTTCCGTCTAGAAAGAAGGGCCGGCAATAGCTCCACCCCTACTGCCAGCTTTCTTCCCAGCCTGCTGCTTATGAAAGAGAAGAGCGTTTATCATGCCACAATACACAGGAGATAAATCCTCTATAAGATGAAAAAAATGTCACAAACTATATGGATTCTCTTAATTTTTTATTTTCAAGTGAGAAAAAAAGGATATGCCACTTTTAAAATTTTTTTGTGATGAATTTGATTGTTAAGATAAATTTGAGTAAATTAATTAACACGTAACATACAATTTGATTGGTTGCGCCTATGGATGCTCAGACTGTGGACAAGTCCAGGGGCCAACAAAATGTATTATTGGGAGGTTCTGAAGTTTAGGTTCAGTGTCTGCAAAATTAGATATAAAAGTTGATAACATAACATTCAAGTTATGTAATGTAACAGACAAGTTAGGTTTGGCATCTACAATTGAGATAATATAACATACAAGTCCATCATATTGTAATCCATCACCCACAAAGTTCTACTAAAAACTCAAATTTTAACCCTTTTCCTTTGAAAGTACTCATTTAAATGTAGATAGCTTAGTACTCATTTAAATGTAGATAGCTAAATTTTAGCTACATAAAATACTATTAGGGCCTATTTGGATAAGAGGGAATTAAGAAATTTGATATCCAAGGTCATATATATTTAAAATCCAAAGAAATCTATAGATTTTTTATGTCAAGGATTTCTATCATGGATTCCTCAAATCTCTTGTTTACATACACTATACAAAATTCATGGATTCCTTGCAATCACTTCTATGTCCATTGTTTTGTAACATAACTTGATACAATTTCTCGTTTTAAAAATTTTATATACTTTCTCTCTCTAAAACTCAAAATTTAGGATATTGTATCTATAAAAAAAGTTTTAGACAATTTCTCTCTCTAAAATTTGATATGGTTTCTCTCTCTAAAATTTAATATACTATCTATCCAAATTTAAAATTTGAAATTGTCTACCTAAATTTTTTATATAATTTCTCTCTATTAAATTTTTAGGTGCTTCACTCTCTCTAAAATTTAATATAGTTTCCCTTTCTAAAATTTTAAGATTCTCTCTCTCTAAAACTTAAAACTTGAGATAGTTCGCCTCTTCAATAATTTTGAGATAATTTCTCTCTCTAATCATTTTCAAGTAGATTCGCACTCTAGAATATGATATAATTTTTCCCTCAAATTTTAAGATACTTTCTCTTTCTAAAAGGCAAAATTTTAGATAATTTCTCTCTAAAAATTTTGCGATAGTTTCTTTTTCTAAAAAATTTATGTAATTCTCTCTCTAAAATTTGATATAGTTACTCTTCAAAATTTTAAGATGCTTTCTCTTTCTAAAACTTCAAGTTTGAGATAGTTTCTCTCGTTAAAAATTGATATAATGTCTCTCTAAAATTTGATATAATTTATCTCTCTAAAATTTTAAGATACTTTCTCTCTCTAAATTTGGCGATAGTTTCTCTCTCTAAAAAAATTTGAGATAGTTTCTATCTCTAAAAATTTTTAAGTAGTTTTTCTCTTTAAAATTTGATATAATTTCTAGCTGTAAAATTTTAATATGATATAGTTTTTCTCTCAAATTTTAATATACTTTATCTTTCTAAAAGGTAAAATTTTAGATAATTGATCTCTAAAAATGTTGCGATAGTTTCTTTTTCTAGAAAAATTTATTTACTTTCTCTCTTGAAAATTTGATATAGTTACTCTTTCAAATTTTCAGATGCTTTCTCTTTCTAAAACTTCAAGTTTGAGATAGTTTCTCTCGTTAAAAACTGATATAGCGTCTCTCTAAAATTTGATATAGTTTATCTCTCTAAAATTTTAAGATACTTTCTCTCTCTAAATTTGGCGATAGTTTCTCTCTCTAAAAAATTTGAGATAGTGTCTATCTCTAAAAAATTTTAGGTAGTTTCTCTCTTTAAAATTTGATATAATTTCTAGCTGTAAAATTGTAGTATATTTTCTCTCTATAAAATTAAATATTCGAGATAGTTTCTCTCTAAAAGTCTAAATTCAAGATAGTTTCTATTTAAAAACCGAGATATTTCTCTCTCTAAAATTTTTTGGCAATTTCTCTTTCTAAAATTTATAATAGATTCTCTCTAAAAGTTTGATTATACTTTCTCTCTCTACAATTTTAAGAATACTTTCTCTCTAAAACTTCAGATTTGATATAGTTTCTCTCTCTAAAAAATTTTGAGTTAGTTTCTATCTCTAACATTTTAGGTATTTTTTCTAAGATGTGATATTGTTTCTCTCTCTAAAAATTAT